CAAACTATAAACCACACACACACACCACCAAACAAAGCAAAATAAAAAAATCTCTGTTAAAACATGTCATTTTCAGATAACCTTTATCTTTTCACTACTAAATTTTTGGCCATTCCTTTAACCTTCTTCATTAGAAATATAAACAAATATGCAGGTAACTTACTTGTTGCATTTCAAATGGATGAAAAGGCAAAGTATTAGTTTCCCTATCAGCTACTTCATGATTTACCTAGAATACAAAGAATAGTTAGTTGATTAAAAAGTTTTCCAGTTTGTAACACGCAACTAGTAGGTCCACTCTGTTTTGGAGCTTTTGTACCTAACCATAATTTTACAAATCCAACTACATTATGAAGTAGGCCTATCTACAATGTAAAAAGAAATCATGCAAGTGTTTCTGAAATGAACTTCAATCTATAACGAAACCACTTTTTTTGTCGTGACCTTTCCCTAGTTTAATCGATCATGAAGCATTTACATTGAGAACAGTTCTCTGACTCTTTAAACACAGCTGTGCTCTAAATATCTGAAAATTTAAGACTTGCAAGAATAATGTCTGACAGCTCACTGAGGAGCTGTGTCTTGTTGCTCCTCCTAAACTCAACATCTACTGCCTAAGTGCCACTACTTAGAAGGGACTAGACTCAAGGATCTTCAGAGTCCCTGCTTGTTTCCTCTAATACCACCCATCAAGGACTTACTGAAAGAACTGAAGTTTAAAATCTAATTGTATGACACATTAAAGATCCAGTTTATGATATTACTGTTCTAATAGGCTACTAAAAATCATAGTCCTATAATGTTAAATGCCTTGCTCTACCACACCACAAACATATCTGTTGCTTAGTGGCCTTTTGATCTCCGCTAACCAGAATTCATTAAACTGAAAACTGTTGCCTCTTCCGTTATCTCTCTGTTGCATGTGTTCAAGAACCAAACAGACACCCCATTTTAAAAGCCCAGTCTGCTAAGTGATGAATTCATCTGCCAAGACTGAGGGGCAACTAACTTTCAGCAACTGCTCAGGAAAGATTTAAAGTGAAGAAAAGTTTTGTACACAAAACAAGTTTGAAAAAAACCCAAAACAAACATGTTAACATTTTCCTAATTTAGAAAGCAATAATAAAGACGACAACTATTTCTCTTACAGCTATAAACAGCTATTCCTCCCTTAATGACAAGAACCAAATGAAGGTGAGGAACTCCTCCCCAGCAGTCCCTCAAGCCTGTTGGATAGCCTCTCATAAATGGGTATGTGAAACTGCCATATCCATCTCTGAAAACCCAGCATCAGTGTCCAAAATGTTTTCTGTAACAGAAGTGGATGTGACTGTTGTCTCCCTCTGTTAGTTGAAGTGTGTTTTCAGGAGCACTATATGCTGATCTAACTCTGGCGTGCCATTAAAGAGTGAATGCTCCAGCCCCTCTTCCGTTCAGCTGCATGCCCTGCCCCTTTCCGGGTGTTCAGCAATGCTTTCTCTGCCTGTAGGACAAAACTTTCAGGTTTTTTTACTTCAGGAAGGAAAAGGGAGGGAGTTTGCCCCCTGAACTCACCCTACAGCTGGGCTGCCACTGTAAGACCACGACAGAAGTAACAGCCAACAATTGTTAGAATGTACAAACTATCTAAATCCTAAAATATTGTCAAAGTTAAATCACTGAACTAATTACAAAAAGAAATATGATGACACAGAAAGATTTTCCTTAACCTCTAAAGCAAAGTTTAAACTGATGCACACCAGGTCCCTCCTTTGATCCTGGGTCAAAAGATCTGCGAATATTTCAGGCAGAACAAAATTCAGTGACCAACTCTTTAAAGAATTACAAATGAAAAACAAGAGTAGTTGTAGAAAGTGTCAGCAACTTCAACTGTAAGTTCTAAGGAAGTTCCTAGTCTGGTAAGTACCTCAGTATCATCCAACTTGTGGCCTTTTTTTGGAAGAGAAGTACTAGAAAATGCTAAATACTACTTTTAAAGTCCCTTACGTTTGCGTGGCTGGAAGTATTACTTGAATATTTGCTCTTGAAACTCTATACAAGATTTGACCCTTTGGTAAGTCATAAAGAAATCACTCAGAAAGGAGTTGCACTTTCCAGTGCTCAAGACTCCCATTTATCACTTAGGAACTCTCAAATAACTCTTCCATTTTAATTTCTTACCTGAACAGCTACCATCCTTGTATGAGGATTGTTTTTCATTAGAGGTATACCTCTGCTTTTTTTTTCAGTCTTAATAACCCGTACACCACATTCAGCTTCATTTCTACTATTTGCAACAGCAAAATTGTCTTCATAAAATTTGTTATTCGAGTTCTCCAGTTGGCACTGAGGGTCTTCATACGTTTGTGTTTCAGTTGGTATAAAACTGCTGAAGACGTACCTTCTGTCTGAAATTGCTGACTCATCATTATCCTGATAAGCTACACGATCAGCACAAATATAATTAGGTTGGTTGGCAACATTTGACATGAGAGGGATTTGAGAAGGCACTCGCAATATTCTTTCATATTGATAACCCCAGGAAGTCCGAGGCAAAAATATACCAGGATTTTTAGAATCAAAGCACTTTAGTAAAATGTCTGGAAATGACGACCCATTTTCTATGGTATCAATATGTTGACCATGCAAAGAACGTACAAATTTACATGACGTAGGAAAAGACCAGGGCAAATATTGTGGAGTCTCATAACTTCCTACTGTTAAGTCAGTAGATGTTGATATATGGGGTTGCTTAGGATGAGACAGCGGTTTGAATTCCTTAGCAGCTGGATTTAACTGTAGCTTGTGCTGGGAAGAATCTTCTTGCACATCACAGACTATATAATTTTCTTCATTATCTCCAGTCTCATTTCTGTTCGTATTCTCATTAATAAGAACTGCATGCTTTCTTAAGCCAATAAGATTATCTATCATAATGAAACGAAGGGATTTCAAAAGAAAAGATTTCAGACCACCTTCATCTTCTACAATCTTTCGAGCTTCTTCAGGGAAGTGCTCATATTCCCCAACTAGTAATTTATTATTAATTTCCATAGGGCCATGTTCTTCCAAGATTTGAGAGAAATATCTTAAAAAAGAAAAAAAAAAGAATTGTCATTGTTAATCAATGTTTTTTCATGCAATTCTAAAATTGTATTTCACACGTTATATTTTCAAAATAATACTCAAAAGCAAAGAGTCTCTAGAACTACTAAAGAACAATCATTTGGAAGATGGCATTCTAGCCAAGCATAAAAATCTTCTGTAATACTCTTGTTTGCTCACATATTACTAGAAATATGCAACTATTTCAAAGTACTAGTACATACCTTTATGTACATACCTACATATACCAGACCACCAGCACTCAAATTCTGGACTTAATACAGTATGTTATAAAAATCATGAAGTAATATTAAACTCTTTAAACTGCTAAGCACAGAAATATATACATACTCATATAAGCTCTCACAGGTTTGATCTGGGTTATTATCCAAAAGCCTTTGATAACTGTTACTATTTGAAATGTCACAGAGAGCTTCAAATTCCTCTAGTTGCCCCCGAAGATATTCTGGGATTACAAATGGTTCATAAGAATTTGTAAAATCTCTGTAGCAGAAAATAAATTAAAAAAAGATAAGAAAGAAAGAAATAGTGCATATGAACAATAATTCTTGTCTCTGAAAATAATTGTATTTTTCACATATACTGAAAACAGTATACTGTAGGGTAACTGCATAGTGCTAAAAACTTACCCCAATAGTAAACTTTTTTTCTAAAAAGTAGAATAAACACTATCCCCAAAATACTTAACTGCTAAACTCATTAACTGACCTGCCACTAACTAATAATAATAAGGCCTACCTCTTGTTAGCGGCTTTCACATCTATAAGATTCCCTCAATTCAGTATCACAACCTGCCTTATATGGCATGGATGGCAAAGTTTAGCTGTGACTGATGGGAGTATGTACAAATTTATCAACTAATTTCTTGCTACATTAAAATGGAACACGAAGCAAGTAAGATCTTACTTGAAAGAATATTTTTTGGCCTAGAAGATGTATTGGGCTGCAGTCTGGCTACCATTTGGTTACTCCCTACATCGTTAAGGTCTTTAAAATTCTAATGCCCCTTACACCTGTCCTGGAAGCAGAGAAGTAATGGCTCTATACAAGCTCATATCAAAAACACTTAGGTGTTAACCCAGACTTTGTGTTTCTGACACTGCCTTCTCCGGTACCTGCAAAGCACTTTGGAGTTTGGGTAATAAAAGATACATGATGGTACTGACAAAGTATTTTCTTCTATAAATCTCTTATCTTCTTCTCGTGGTGCTGTACTAACTCCACTGGATAATACTAAAATAGACTAATTAAAAACAGATTATTATTTTTTTATCTCACAAAAGTATATGCAAAATGATCCACTGTAAAGACTATGAGTAACTTATTTACACTAAATCTTCTTCTGTAACTTCATCTTGGTTCAGAGACCATATTATGAACCACAAAACTTTTAAGTACAATTATCAGAATTAAGCCATAGCAAGAAAGTTCTTAACTTAAAATTATTCATTTCTTCTTCAGAACTTATTTCTGAAAAAGAAATGGGGATATTCAGCCCAACCTCCCTCTTCTTTTACCAATTTCATCAAAATCCTAGATGCGCCTGATTTTTCTCCAAGTTTGGATTAGAAAAAAACAAACACCACTACAGATTCACTTTAAGACTTCTGTGTAACTTCTTTCCACTGGGCTGCCCATCAACTGACTTTCCAGTAATCTCTTCTTTTATATTTGAGAGCCTTCAAGCTTTAATAATTTTACCACAAATAAGTCTGAGTTATCCCTAGTTCCACATGGTTTTAATGACACCTGTTATTCCTATGTTCACCATTACAAATGTTTCAGTTGTCTTTTAATTTTTATTATCTAATAACTTTGGAAACACGTAGACTTGTATAAATGCATCTAAGTCAGAAAAAGAAAAACCTGGCTGATGAGAATAGGAAAAATCTTAAGTTTACTCTTGAAATGCTAGTGAAATTATAAAAAGGGGGGGATGGAGGAAACAAAGAAGATTGTATCTGAAGCTTTCAATAAAGCAAAGCAGGACAAAAGACAGTATAAGTTTCAGGTAGAATATTATTCCTAGCAAAATCTATAAAATACTGAACAACTAATAACATTTTTCTGAGCAATAAATGGAACACTTGCATCTTCAGTCACTGATATGCCCATAAAATTACCAGAAAAGATAAAGACATAATTGCAGATCTATTTCATGAGGTGCAAGGACATATTTTTCCTCCTCAAAATGACTGATAGAGTCCTTCTCCAAATTTACTATTTGTCAGTGCAAAACGAAATGGAGCATAAAGTACTAATTACATAGTGCAGTCAGTGTTCTCTATTCACACTTCCTCATATGGCAAATTATGATCAAAACAGTCATTCAGAATTAAGACAGCGGATAGGCTGAAGGTATTGGTATTCAGTCAGAGCCAAAGTTATCCATAAACAACTCCTGATCAAGTTTAGAAGTACCTTTCATACTGACAAATTCGAATTTTAACAAAACAAAACTGTATTAACTGAGTCTTAACAGCATTATTCTGCTTCAGGAAAAACTGCTTCACAAATGAGTCTCCACAAGGTATTTAGGAAAACAGCCTCTATACATCTGAATGCCAGCAATTCTAAAAAAACTATTCATAGTAAGCAGCTAAAAGTTACCAACCCTCGAGTCTTTTGAGTTCTTCTTCCTGTTTTTGTTTTTAACTTTGATACCATTAGTCTGAAACAGAAAAAAAAACCTGGTTTTTTCATTGGAATAAAATTATGACACATTTACAAAACTAGTTCTTTTGAGTTCTTCTTCCTGTTTTTGTTTTTAACTTTGATACCATTAGTCTGAAACAGAAAAAAAAAAACCTGTTTTTTTCATCGGAATAAAATTATGACACATTTAAAAAACTAGTATGTAAATTTTAAAAAGTTTCAATATTAAACTTTTCATTCTAGTTTCACCACCAAGATTTACAAGGTGAAGCATGCAATCTTCTCCCTCTCCACTCCATCCCTGGGTGGAAATCACAGAAAGAAACGGAGCTTTGCAAGACTTTATCCATTTTGTTCCTCTTCATCATTTTCCTCTTTAAACACACAGAATATCGATTTTAAAAAACAGAATATTCTATCATTTTAGTATTTCAGATGCTTACTCATTACTTATAGCTGAAATCGCATACTTAACAAGGTGTGACATCCCACACAACACAGTTTTGTGTGGGAACAAGAAGCAAACAGAACTGTCAAGTGTTCCGGTCACTTCAATTTTCTAAGATATGCAAAGATGAAGGAACTAAAATGCATCTTCACTTTTTAATAAGACTGTGATTATAGATTAACATAACTCTACTAACAGTAACTTATTAACAGTCTATTTTAGGATATAAGTAACATTGAAATAGAAGTAGATTTACTGTAACGGCTTTCATTTCATTCTTGAATTTCCAATTCATGAAATGAAAAAGCAAAGAATTTCACATTTTATTAAAAGTATATTAATTAATTAACTCTAAAGATTTATTCTGTATCAAAAGTAAGTTTTGGATTTGTACAGATAAATTTATCCGCAGGCTAGAATAATTTTAAATGAGAGTGCCTCAAACACATAATTAACCAAAATACATAATACACTTCTGCCACTTAGAATGGATTTTAATTAAGATACTAATCAAAAAGTGATTCAGAATTATGTACGCTCTAAGACTCATGGGCTGAATCTGAAAAGCATCTATAAATTATAAAGAACAAATGCAAAATATATCTAATGCACTTCAAATTTACTTGCTTATTAGTGGAACAAACCTCAAATTCCTAGCCTTACAATGTAATGACATCTGAAGGTAAAGCTGGGTTATGCTACCTTCCCATTTGTTGCTTTGGACTGTAAAATACACAGTACGATTACAGTCCAAAATTATGCAGATTCAAGTTAAGCACACTCGAGGAAGAATCACACTTCAAGTTCAGTTGTCATGGTAAACAAGCAGATAGAGCAGTTAGTAAGAGTCTCTCTGCAAATTGGCACTTTTTTTTTTAAAAATTCCCCAATGATACCTTCAGAGAGACTTTTTTTTAAAGTTAACACCAAACTGCTGTTATTAAGTAATATGTAAATGCTATTCCCATGCACCTTATTTCCCTTATTTTCCCTATTCAAAGGAGGTGATACAGCACATCAGTGTACCCTCATCCACTTTCACTACAACTTCCTCACGTGCATCCTTGAAATGCTCATAATCTAAAACGTATCTTGTGGGTCTGTGCTTTAACCAAAAAGAAAACCCAACAAGTATTTTACTGAGGCAAGTTTAGGAAAAATGGTATGCAGTCTCCAAATGCTTTAAGAAAAGAGGGAGTGGGAGATAAAACAAAAGAGTAAATCTCTAATCAGGTCTGAAGGATGATGATGTAAAATAAACCAAGAGATGCACGTCTCTACACTTTTGCAGATTTTTAAAACATCAAATATATACTTGTTTCTGAGCTTATACCAAATGGACATTAAGTTCACTCACCGGTATATTTTCATTTCCCTGCTTCTTTAATATAATGGTAGGGTCATCTACAGAAACAATCACAAAGTCACATTCACAAATGGAAATAGTAATATTTTATGTAACTTATAATTGTGCATTATGAACCTATAGTAATAATTACTATAATCCTTTATCAAATACTACCAAAGCATCTCAAAGACTGTAGCTGCAGAATCTTTATGCTTAAACTGAAAAATAGATACTTATATTTCTTGGACATCATATAGGCATAAAGATAAACTGACATGCTGGTTGTGGCGCATGAAACAAAACAGCGGAATGTAACCTAAAAAAGAGTGGCTCGCCTTTTGAGGCTATATTGCCTTTTAAGCACTGACCACAGAAGATCCCATATAATGAGGTGGTTAGTAGTTTGCTGAGGTTTTGGCCTTTTACAGAGCCCATCAAATGTGGTGTAAAACCAGACAAAATACAATGCTTGTAAGAATGATGACCTTTGCATACTCACCCATTTTATCAAAGAATTCATCTAAAGCTTGATGAAGAAATGGAAAATTTTCTCTGTTGTCTTCTAACAGCCATATAAAACAACGGTTTTTCTCTAGAGGTGGTTTTAAGAAATAATCACAAATTTCTTTGTCATCAGAACTAGTTGTCACGTAATCAAATTTACTACCATACTTCTCATTCCAGAGTGTGGTTAAAATAGAAAGGTCAAGCTCTTTTAAAAATTGTCCATAGTTAAGAAGAAAGTTCTCTGTAGCTGTCAGACCTAAAACAAATGAAAAAAACCCAACATTTCATTCTGGCTTCAGTTTTGGTGCTTACAGTGTGATATTCCTCTTTGTTCTAGAAATTAAATATGCAGTAGCTGAAACAGATTACGTAAAAGCTTTTGTATCTTGAAAATGCAAACAAAATTGATAAATGGAGTTTATATAATCTCATCCAAGGTTTTGGCATCTTATGTCCATTTTGCCTACAAAACCAAACTTCTACCTTCACCAATTGTAAATTCTATAGGAAACTACACAGAAAGGCAACACTACCAAAAAGCACCAAGTTAGATTACTTCCAAGTTATACAGTCAGCTAAACTTTTATGACAAAAACCCCACCATGATTTACTTTCCAGAAACAAATTATTTATAAAAATATTCTCATTTAAGCCTATTCTGGAATTCAAAGACTTTAAAAAATAAATCTGTTCAATTTTTTCTTCCCTACCCAGACAAAGCCCTGCCCACATTAGAATGCTTTCCTTGCAGACCCAAGAGAGGTTGTTCCTGTGTTACCAATGGTCATACTTTCTTCTCTAGAAATCCTACCTAAGGATCAAGTAGATGAAAAAGAAGAAAGCTTTACTTTACCATTTAAAGTTAAGAAAGCAAGACTGGAAAATAGGGAGGTTATCTTTTCATCTGTAAACGGAACTATTATGACAGGATAAGGTCTTCTGCTATTACATAAACATATAGCCTACCCAAGTTGTTAAGGTGTTTCAGCCACTTGTGTAGTTTGGGATCCAGTTCTTCCAACTCACTCAGCACATGGATAAAACTCCTTGTTTTTACTCTGTTTTTTTCGTGAAGTAAGTAACTGATGAGTTGCTCCATCACTTCATGTGACATGCTACTAGTTTTGGAATATGACACATAATCCTCCTCGCTGATTACAAACCATGAAAGTAATTCTTTTAATAGTTTGGAAGCATCATAAACAGCTGTTTTTATTTGCTCAGCATTTCGACTGATATGCTGCAGGACTCGATCACCAGCATATAAATCCTGAACATAATCTATAATGGGATTTAAAAAAAAAACAACAAAACCAAACAAAACAAGATTTCATTTCTGTTTACCACAATTAAAAACATCAACTTTAAAGTACAGATAATTTGGACTAAGTGGTGCTTTTAATTATTTGCTTTATCACAACACTGAAAATTACACAATTTATAACTTTCTACATAAACTAGCCTTAGCATTATGAATTTGACACGATATTGTTTTAAATTTGGTTTACACAAAGGAACAATCCTTAGCACCTTAACTAGATTTCAGAAAGAAAAATTTAAAAGTTTACCTGGCAGTAATAGTAGTTTCAAGCAATTGCCTGTACAGATTTATGTGTGTGGGCTGCATGCCCAGCCTCATGCAGAGACAGAGCTCCCCCAAGCATCAGTTCTCAGAGCAAAGGCACACTTTTGAATGCCCAAGCACAGACCCAGTAGCAAACCTTTGCCCTGACACTGCCACTGGTTCTTTGTAGAACAAGAGTGAAAAAGATTACTGGCTCGTATCAGCCTTCACCTTTCATTATTCTTCAAGGCCACTTTCAGAGCTTACCTGACAGTAACTATAGTCAAAAGTTGTAGATCTGTAAAGAATTTTTTAAAAACAAAGCACTACGTATTACCCCTAGAATAATTAAGCACTGTAACACAAACAGTTCCAAACACACTAATCAGCAAGATTCAATGAACTCTGCAGGTATAAGCCGTGCCTGAGCTTATCCTGCAGCAGTCTGCATTAAAAACCTCTGTATCTTACAAACGTGCATACAAACAACTGCCCTTCTCACCTGCACTCCTCTCCAATTTACAAGCAGATTTGTTCTTATTTAAAGGTAGCTATGGCTGCTAATAAAACAAAAAAATGCTTTGCGATCTAGCTCTCCCCTGAAATTGGCCTCTCAGACAGCTTAGGAGGTTCATTAGAGATATTTTATTTTTTTTTAATATTCCTTATGAAATTTCCTCAAGCGAAAAAACAGGGTAATAGCTACCTTGTCTCCAACATAATACAAGACTTCAATTTTACTATAGAATTAATTCTGGACAAATTAACACCACCAACACACAGATTTTTGCAGAACTGTGTTAAGTTGCTTCATGTTGACATATTCCTTCATGTGTCCCAACTTTTACCCACAGTACTTCAGGGTGAGTTGTTCTGTCACACCAAGGGCATTTTTAGTTCTTAGCAGTTTTAGGGACATTTAGGACAGTCAAGTCACATATATGTAATTGAGTGACCTGCATTGGATCCAAGGACCAGAACTAAACATAAACTATAGGAAAGGAGATACCCTAGACTTTAAAAAAACTAACACAAAGTCAACTGAACGCAATTTTAGAAAACCACACAGAAGCAAAAATAGTATGGTAATAGAATAGCAAACATGGCAACAGAATAGCAAACGAAAAAAATAATCTATGGCGCTAATGGAAGAGACCACTCTCAAACAAAACAGTTAAGAAAAATACACATAACTAAAAAGATTAGCACCTGAGAGCTTTTTAAAGAGAAAGTGCCAGGATATGCCATTGAACAGGCAACAGGGTTCTGGAGAACTCCAAGTATAGCATGTATGGGATGAAAAAGTGCCCTCAAAGTATTTAATATGAAATTCTACAAGGAATTTAACATGAGTACTCTTCTAAAGTTAATAACACAGACAAAAACTGAAAAAAAAAAATCACCTATTTTTCTTTGCACTGTAGTTTGCTGTAATACAAAATGCAGTGGAAGTTCACGCCTCTGAAATACAGAACACTGCAAACCAACGTAACTGGAAAACGAAAGCTGCAGCATTAACCGACTATGCACTTACAGGTTCCAGTATTTTATTTTCCCCAATCCTCTGAAATATACTTTCCAAGTCACTGCAGTTTCTGCAGTTAGGATATCATTCATTCTTCATCTGAGATGCAGCGTTGTGGTTTTTTTTCCTGTAGCAGTGTCCTAACTTGTTGGGTATAAAGCTTTTTCTGAAACCACTTTTACATAGATTATCTTGGAATTTGAGCCTTTGCCCTCTTCAGGCTGCTTCTTCATGAACCAATGAAGCAAGAATAAAGGTTTTCTACAAGGAACTTAACCACACAGTAACATCTTACAGTTATTTAGAAATTAAAACCAGAACTGAAATAGAAGTAATCTTAAGTAAAAATTGTCCTGGTTTGGCTAAAACAGAACTATTTCTCCTTTTAGTAAATTTTCCTTCTGTTAAGTTTCTTCTAATTAACTGCACTTTCAGAAGCTGACTACATGTTTGTCAGACAGTGTCTGCTTTCAGA